CTTTTAAATCAATAACTATGAGGCCATCCTTTTGGTAATAGAGAAGGCAGAGGAATTCCAGATTGTAGAGGGCGCATAGGTTGAATTACCTTGTTGCAGCTCTAGATCTATCACCATTCTCCATTTACCAGATTTCTTTTAAACAACAAATACAGGAGATTTCTGATGGCTGGTTGATTCTTCAATATGGTGAGCATCTAGTTGCTCCTGTACCAGCTGTTTTAAACCTGCAGTTTATCTTCTGTTAACGGCCACTGTTTAACCCATATTGATTTCTCAGTGAAGCATTTTAAGGGTAGGGCTGTTGGTACTTCTAAAGGTTTGCTAGTTGCTTTGTGTTCTCGTACAGCCTGAATGACTGGTGAGCTTTGTGTGACTCTTCTTCCATCTAATGATAAATTATGGATATAGGAAATTTTTGTATATAGTACCTTATAATATTTTTCCCAGAATTGTGAGTTTCTGGAACTGCAGGAACGTTAATCTGGTTATTCCATTGCTGCAGCAGCTCATGACCCCATAAATTCCCTGCAATATTCACCACATATGACCTCAGCCTTCCTCTCTGTCCTTCTGGCCCTGTGGATTCAACTCTTCTTGTTTTTTGTTTCACTTGATAGGGTTACAATTCCTAGTAATTGAACGTCTACCTCTTGAAGAGGACAATTTGGATGCCAAGATTTTGGAGTAATGATACGTTTGCACCTGTGTCTATCAAATCCACAATTACAATATGTGTTGCTTTGGCGAGTGGTAGTATTATATTTACTAAATCCACCTTGCTGTCTAGGCTCTTCATAGTTTAGAGTTGGGGTGTCTCTTGAGAATACCCTGTTTACCTGTTGGTAAAGCCCAGTTTTATTTGTTTTGGGGCCATACAGTCTCATTGCGTTACCCAGGCTGTTCTCAAACTCCTGGGCTCAAAGGATTCAGCCTCCTTGGGAGTACAGATGCTCTCCACTGTACCTTCATTAATTCCAGATAGAAAAGGCTTTTTTGGAGTCTTTAGGGTTAAAGATTTATCATTTATTATTTTCATGTGTATTTGTGCTCCCATGTGAGTTTATGTGCACCATGTGTGTGCAGGAACCTGTGGGCAAGAAGACAAAATAAGATCCCTTGTAAAATGCCATGTGTGTGCTGGAATCTAAACCTGGGTTCCCTGCAAGAGCAGTAAATGCTCCAAACTGCCGAGCCATGTACCCAGCCCCATCTTTAGTTATTTTAAATAGTGCAAATGATTCCAGGGATCAAAATGTTTTAGACTCAATAAAATAAAACCTACTCCAAGATAGTTGTTAGAAAAAGTACACATTGGTACTAAAATAACTTCACGTTTGTGCAAAGAACTATTAGACTCTTAATTCTACAAGCAATATATTTCGAAAGGATAGAAAATAATTAAATGGTCGTTGTTTCAGGGAGGAAGAAGTGAAAGTGAAACTCTAAACCCATTGAACTGACGGAGGGTGTGGCTGTGGTATAGAGCACATTTTTCTGGCACTGGGTGAGGCTCTCAGTTCTGCTCAAGCACTTGTACCACTTCCCCTAAAGACTGGAAGAAGTTTGGAATAATAGTTTTTTGTTTTGTTTTGTTTTGTTTCTGCAGATTCCTTTTTCTTGTTTGATGTGAGGGATTTTTTTTTAATTAATATTCAAGCCAAGTACTGTCATTTTGGAATAGTGAAGCTCAAACTAGGCAGCATTTCCTAGTAGAGACCAAAGTGTACTGATTTTAACTTTTAAAGAGGAACAGTTTGATTTGTATTCTCAAAATGACATTTATTTCTAGGTTCCTGGAAAAGATGAAGTTTATTTCTCAGACTGTCATAATTTATAGTCTTTGTTATTTCCAAGGTTTTAAGTGAGTAAGTGCTACATGAAATGTGAAAGTAAAGAAGCTGAGTGTTCTGACATTTGATTCAGCACAAAACGTACTTTTTAATACTCCTAGCCTTTGAGGCTTGGGGACTTTGTGAAGGAATACGGAGCTCAATTTTACTCATTCTCTCTGCTGTTCAATGTGCCTTTTGATCAGTATTCATGCTTTTAACTCTTAGATGAAGTGTCCTTTCATGAAAAGGGAAAACTATTTTAATGTAATGGATTTTCAGATTTTTTTTTTCTTCTATATGTGTAAAATTTACTTCTTTGAATGCTGAATATCATTTCCTGAGTTCTTTGAAGCTGCTTTGAGAAAGATGCTGTGTGCCGGTCTGTTCATTTCTGGTAGTTAACCTGTAATGTGGAATCATTTCCCGCAGTTTCTCTGGTTGACAAAGACAGCTTTTTAAAATATTATAAGTGTTAGGCACATGGTTGCTGTTTACTCCTACTCATGGATAGGAGGTTGTTTGTCTGATTCTTGACACATCCTTAGAAATAGCTTCGTGTGGAAATTGCTACTCAGTATGGAAATGAAAATTTTAAGGGATGAGTTACTCAGTACCGTAAACCCTTATTAATACTAAAATAGAAACTTAGATTTAAACAGAACTAGGTTATATTATAAAGTTTAGATTTCAAAAGACTCTGTCTTTGAAAAATACATCTCTCTGTGTCCTGTATTCTAGACAGTCTGGTCAGATTGGAGAGGAACAGGTAAGGCACAGATCCTGCCTCAGGGTTTGCAGTTAGTGACAGAGACTTGTGGGAGCAGTAAGTGAGTTGCCCAACTGAAGGGTCATGAAACTCAGATGTTTTGAGAAAGTTCCAGTAGATCTTGAAGGAATAAAGCAACTCTGATGGAGGTAGGGAGAAAGATGTCTGGGCAGACAAAAGAACACTGATATTACTTGGGATTGGCTGGTTGGTCCAGTGCTGGGCTGGGCGGTGTTAAAGGTGTAGGCTGTAGATGCAGAAAAGTAGACAGTGTGCCTTCAATTGAGAAGTCCGAACTTAAAATAAAAGGTGGCGGATTTGAGAGTACTAAGAAGGGAGTTTCCGTACAAAGTAACCCAGAGTCCCCAGGGTTGGATTGAGTCTTAGTGCATATTGAGCTTAGGTTGTATTACAATCAAATACTTAAATATTCCTGAGCTGTTTACCTCCTACATATGATGGAGACAACCTTTATTCCACAGGCAGTTAGGAGGACTAGGAAAAGATATGGAAAGAGAACACCAGACCTTTAAGTACTCTGTAATGAGAACTGAAATAGACACAGTTCCCTGCATGTATTCTAAGTTTCTAGGTAGAAATGAAAACATTTATGAGGTGTTTTTACAAATTATGAATTTAAAAAATTAAAAACATTTAAGAGTATTAGAACATTGAATGTTTCTCAAACAGCTTAAGACATGGTTTCTATAATTTCACTTTTAAAAAATTTTTAATTTTTTTATATGTATTTCTATATGTGTATGGATGAGTGTGTCTGAAGAAACCAGAAGGCTGGGATCATTGGTGCTAGAATTATAGGTGGTTGTGAGCTGTCCGATAATGGGGGTTTGGGGAACCAAACTTAGGTCCTCTGGGAGAGCAGCAAGCATTCTTTCCCACTGAGCCATTTCTCCACTCCCCTAATTTCACATTGTTGGACTTGTTACTTAGGAGTCTTAGTGTGGCAGAACTGGAAAGCAGGATTTGTCTTTAAGGTCGGGTTGTCAGATGGTGAAATTTCCAAAGGACAAGCTTTATGTAGGGTGTGTTCTGTTTTTGTATTTTATACATTCCCCAACACCCTGACCCAGGAATTAATTTTTAGTTGAACATGTGTGTTTTACATTTGCTAATATTTTAATCTTTTAAATTACTTTCATTTAGGCTTCTTTACTTTTAAAATTAACTTAAAGAATAAAGTAAAGTAGTACATGAATATATTTTCTGTAAAACATAACTTAAAGCCCCACAGCATAACATCTTAACTTACAGCAAAATACCAAAGCCTGGGAAACTTATTTCTTATAGTAGTTTAGAAGCAGAGAAGTTCAGGATCAAGTTCTGGATTAGGGGTGCCTGGTGAGGACTTTTGCTTACTTGTAGGTAGAAGCATTTTCACCAAAGTCTTTCTTCCTCTGTGCCACATTTTGATAGCAAATGTTTGGGAGTAAGCCCATTGGTATCCTTTCAAGGGCACACAGTCTTGTAGGATGAGGGCCATGCCCTTATGACCTCATGAAATCTTAATTGTTTCCTTATTTCAGATCCAGCTACACTGGGAGACCAGACATGTTCAGTCAACACAGAGTAAAAAAGAAGTTTCCATAGTGACTTTTGTCACTTAGTATCTTGTAGCAGTGGGTGAAGTTAAGTGTGCATTATACTGTATTTCAGTCTAGACCTGCAGGTCTATGTGAATTCTTCGAGTTCTTACTTCTCATGTTGATAGTTTGTTAGCTGCAGTCACTGTTTGCAACCAAGCTAGCATTATAAAATTTATTAGCCATTCTAACAGTGTCTTTTTTTAAAAAAGATTTTTTTATGTGTATAAGTGTTTTTACTTGAGTGTGTGTGTTGTACACCTCATGTGTACAGTGCTTGTGAAGGCCAGAGGATGATATCAGCTTCCCTAAAACCAGAGGTACAGATGGTTGTAAGCTGTGGGAATTGAACCTGGGTACTTTTGCAAGAGCAACAAGCATGTTTAATGGCTGGGCATCTCTTCAGCCCCTCTAGTAGTGTCTTGAACCTTGAACCTGTGTTATTTGCTTGAGTCCCCCTTCTCTCAATGTATTTTGATTCCTGTAGGGAGTGTCTCCCTAATTTAATGGTGATTTATTAAAAAATAATATGTTAAAGTTCTACAGTTTATAAAGGTGACTAAACTGATTTGGAACAAAGAAACCGTAGCTGACTTTAAAATATAAGTCTCTGTCTTACACACACACACACACACACACACACACACACACACATACACACACACATACACACACACACCCCACTACACACCTTACTGAGAATTTGAATTCTTTCTAAGTTGGTTTGTATTGCAGGAAGTTGAAGAAGGGCTTTTACCTGCTTTCTCCAAGTGCTTATGTTGATATGCTTTCTTACAGGCCAGCCCTCCAGACCTCTATATTGAAAGATTTAATATAGCTCTGGGACAGTATATGGGAGCATTACAGAGCATCGTGCCTCTTTTCATATATATGGTAAGTTAGAGCTCTGTTTACCTCCCAAACCATGTGGGGTTAAGTGTGTTCTGGTTTTCTGTTACTATATTTGCAACTCCCATTCCTGAGTCAGATTAAAGATGGGTGTCTTCATGAATTTGGAGTTGAGAGTAGGAGGTGTAATCACTACCTTATTCTTCACAACACATCTAAATGGAATGAGCCTAAAAGTGAAGGTGACAGAAGAAATCATACCCAATTTTGAGAGTGAAGAAAGGCATTTCTTCTCCCCCTCACAATTTTATTTTATTAAATTTGTTCTTTCACCATTTCATCCTATATATAGTACATTCTGTTTGCTTTCTCCTCCAACCCTCTCTTAGCCCCCTCTGTGTTACCCCACACCGCCGTACACAGGTCCCATTCCCATATTCTCGCTGAGAGAAGACCTTTAGATCCTGTCAGGAAGGAGAATATTGGTTGGTGTAAGAATAAAACACCCTTGTTCAGCAAAATACCAAAACCAAAAATTGGTGGAGAAGTTTAGGAAGTTTGCAAAACAAAAGACACAGGTTTATTGTCTTTTCTAACTAGTTTCATGGATTACTTAGAAAAAAGTCAGTAATTATATTTTTTGACAAAGGGTATGAATTGTATAGTTCACAGAATATATAGCATAAAAGGAAAATATATATGACATCATTGTTAAATACAAGTTAAAATTACTTTTAAAAAGTTCTTGGAAATACTTTTGATGAAGCTGTAGAGAAAGAGGTCTATAATTTACAGTAGAAATATAAGTTGGGGGGCTGGAGAGATGGCTCAGAGGTTAAGAGCACTGACTGCTCTTCCGGAGGTCCTGAGTTCAATTCCCAGCAACCACATGGTGGCGCACAACCATCTGTAATGAGATCTGGTGCCCTCTTCTGGCCTGCAGGCATACATGGAAGCTGAACACTGTGTACATAATAAATAAATCTTTTTTTTAAAAAAAAAGAAATATAAATTGGTAAAATTGCCTTGGAAGGCTCAAAATTTTATCTCTAGAATTTCTCAAACTCATAAGTAGATATAAATATTAATAAATAAATAGATATAAATATTGCCTATGTATAAGTTATGTTTTAATTTCTTTTTAATAGCAAAACATTGGGCATATCTGTATTGTCATCAGTTGGGAACTGTTTAAATAATTTATGGAAAACAGGAAAATATATAGTTAAAATAATGGCATGTTTATATAATTTTGTGGAGAACAGTCTCCTAGAACGTAACATTAGGGTAAAGGGTACAGGCAGTGTGTTGTTTTCTCAGCAGGTGCTTTCTCCCAGGGAGAGAAGGGGGTCACATGTTCTTGCAAATAGTGTTTCAGAACAAATGTACCATATGGTTTTCTCTACAGAATGTGACCTATAAGAGCTAGAACACAGGATCAGCTCTGGTTGGCTTTTGATTGTGCACCTGGTCGCATGGTTGTAGTTTTTAACTAGCCATGTACATCTTCTTATTGTTTTTGTTTGTTTGGGGTTTTTTTTTGTTGTTGTTTGTTTTTTGATACAGGGTTTCTCTGTGTAACAGCTCTGGTTGTCCTGGAACTTGCTTTATAGACCAGGCTGGCCTCCAACTCATGGAGATCCTCCTCCCTCTGCCTGGGGTTAATTTTAAAGGCCCACACCACCACTACCTGGCTTTTTTTTTTTTTTTCCCCAGAAAGGAAAACACTGTTCAGAACCAAGAGAGTTAGTGAGCAGTTTGTTTTCATTTTGTTTTCTACCCTTTGACATTGAGCTAGCATTTAAACATGAATAAATTTAATGTTTTAAATGGTTTTAGGTTTTTGTTTAGGTGATTTTGGTGGCAAGAAAGAGAAAACTTGATTCAAAGTGACTCAGGTAAATAAGGAAACAGTAGGCATCCAGGGACGTTGGAGTTGGGGGCTTAGTTTTGTCTTGTTGTATACCATACCGCTCATCTTGTTTTAGATATAACTGAACAACTTCCTTCAAGCATTGCCTGCTCTCAGCCTCATTAGGGTGTCTGCCTCTGAGCAGAGATGGTATCTGGAGTTTGTTACTCTGCCCATTGCTGATGGGCGTGTTTACAGGGACTCTTCTTAGCTTCCACTGCCTGTCCTCATCCTAGATGAGTGCCCTTCCTGAGTTTCCCAGCATTGCCTTTTGATGCTTCTGATGAACGCTTAAGGACACAGCACACAGTGTGGCTCCATACTGCCTCTGTAGTTCTGGGATTGATTGATCTTTCAGCCTTTCAACCTCATGCCAAAAAAACCCGTGACTAGGAATGGCTGGGTTTTGCTTTTTTGTTTGTTTGTTTTGTTTTGTTTTTGTTTTTCGAGACAGGGTTTCTCTGTGGCTTTGGAGCCTATCCTGGAACTAGCTCTTGTAGACCAAGTTGGCCTTGAACTCACAGAGATCTGCCTGCCTCTGCCTTCCAAGTGCTGGGATTAAAGGCGTGTGCCACCACTGCCTGGCCTTATTATTTTTTTAATCAATACATTTATACATTATTCCCTTAAACAGAATTTGGTTCTCCCACTCATGGAAATGATTGCTTTCCCTTGTTGATATATTAAAAACTTATTTTATTTTTCAGAATAAGTTTTACATAGAAACTAAACTTAACAGAGACTTAAAAGATGATCTTATAAAGCTGTTTACGGAACACGTTGCAGAAAAGCACATTTACAGCCTAATGCGTAAGTAATTTCACTTCTTATGGGGGAAGACAGCACTAGCCATGGTCTCCTTTCTCCTTCCCTTCCTTCTCCAGCTCACTCTTACTCTTTTCCTTTCATCTGAGAACATTGTCTTCTAAATTCCAATATTGACATCTCTAGAACCAGAGAACAGGAAGTCGTAAAACTAACCTCAGTCCGCAGAGAGACACCTGGGATTGAAATTGTGACTTGCCAGTCATCTTTTGTTGTTGGAATACTCAGGAGGTCATGTATTGGACAGTGTCTTGTGCCTGCCCTGATCTGTGTTGCCTTTCTTCCCTGAGCAGAAGGGTGATTAACAGGGTTACATGTAACTGCGGTATCACTGACTCTCAAAGGGGTGCTGGGTGTCTGTGAAGGCCAGCACAGGCTCTATCTGGTTTCTACTGTTAGTCTAATGTGGCTGCTACTCACTGTGTTAGCAAGCTGCCAGCCTCCTGTAGATGAGCATTTGTAAAATATTTACCATGGCTGTATCGATAGCTAAATAAGGTACAGGTGCCAAGCTCAGCCAGCCTTTCCCCACTCCTGGCTCACAGCAGGCGGCATCGTTTCCCCTTCATCTAAAGGAGCAGACTCCAGGTGTGCCATCACTTGTCACTCAGCACCTTCAAGAAAGCTCATGTTTTGGTCAGTACACAACAAGTAATTTTGGTACCAGTGTAGATTGTAGTCTATATTTTCTTGCAGTATTTCAGTTGTAATTAGTTGTTGCCACACAGATGTTTTACTGAAATTTACAAAGTAATTGTTTTAAGCTTGACCACAAACTCTTTTTGTTACTTTTGATTTAAATTAAGAGAAAGGATTTATATACTGGACCAGTTTACTTTTGCAAGACACAGTTTTTACAAAATAGTATAGATTCAGTTGACATCAATTAGCTCCAGAGAGTCCAGAGTCTCTTGGAGAGGGCCTTGCTTAGCCTGTGTTGGCTTAGAACTGTAAGCAATTGTCTTGCCGGAGCCTTCCAAGTTCTGGAATTACCGAAGTTTATTACTGCGTCAGCTTCTAACCTTTGGTCATAGCCTTGGATACTGACATTGTTTTTAATTTTTTGTGTGTTTTGTTTTGTTTTTGGAGACAGGGTTTCTCTGTCGCTTTAGAGCCTGTCCTGGAACTAGCTCTTGTAGACCAGGCTGGCCTCGAACTCAGAGATCCATCTGCCTCTGCCTCCCAAGTGCTGGGATTAAAGGCATGTGCCACCACTGCCCGGCTTTGTTTTTAATTTTTTAAAGCACATTTTTTTTCTTTCTAAATATGTCTTTATACTTGCTAATAATTTGAAAGTCAATTTTATTGCACATACAGAAAGAATATTAAAGAGAATATTACACTTAAATTGGATGTAAGGACTTTCTAGTCTGGACTTTTCAGGAATTGACACTTAAAGGGTACAGCCTTTTCCCAGCAAATAGAAAAGGCCTTAAATTTTTGTAGGTTGGATTAAACTAAACACATTAGATATTTATTGAGCAGCTGGTATGTATTGTACGTAGGATGGAAGACACAGCTGCTGGCCACACTGGTTTGGGTCCCAGGACAAGGAAGCTCTGTAAATGTCTTAACAATTGCATAGATGATCGGTACAAGGATTTTTAACAGGCACTCACATGTTTACATGTAGTAGTTTACCTGTTCTAGATACTTTACAAGTTCTACTTAAATTTCATGACACTAAGGTAGGTGGTCATTACCATAGAAATTGAGGCAAAGAGATAAAAATAAGGTCAAAACAACAGTAATTCAGGGTTGGTATTTTGACCACCACTCTAGTGGCTACAACACAAGTAAGTATACACAGTGTCTTTTCTAAAAATCTGAATATAGTTTGTAGCACGATTAATAAAAACCCAGAGTCAGGTAACAGATATTGGGGCTCAGTCTGAAGACCAAAAAAGCAAAGCAGCCAGCCACTCAGTCCAAAATGGCGATACTGCCTCCTGAATCCTCAGAATGAGATTGAAGTAGAGCTGTATAAACATAGTACCTTAAGCAAAAGTAGAAATGTACATATAACAAAATTGACTTTAAACTTATATCAATAAACCGAAGTCCACACTCATGTAGTTTCCTTCCTTTGGCCTTCAGCACACTGAACAGTGCTGCTGTTCCATTAACTATCATTTGGAAGTACAGTGGCTCCAGCCAGCACCGTCTTTCAATCTGCTGTATATTCTGGAAAGGGCTTTTGTGAGGCGGCTTTTCTGCCCTGCTCTGCACTGGCTGATGTGGCCTAGCTGGGGCTTTCCATTGCTGGCTTGCATGACTGCTAAGTTAGTGCGGTTTTTAGTTTCTTATACTTTCTCCAATACTGAAATGTTCCAAGATTCAGAAAGTAGAAACTTGGAAACTATGTTTAAAGTCCTGAACGCAGGAAAGACTTCCTGCATTCTGTTGGGTAGGCTACTGGGGGAGATCATGGACCCCCATCTCTCAATGGGGGGATTTCAGACTAGTGTATGAGTGTTCATCTTAAACTAAGACAAGAGTGTGTGTGTGCTAAAGACAGATTGGTACTCAGTGTCCTCATGTTCATGAATTAATATTTTGTGAATAAGAAACCGAGTTTCTGTTATAGGTGAGGCTAGTTTTCTATCAGCACAGTGCATGGTCATTGCATACATGTGTCCTTAGAAAATAAAGTGACGTGGTTTTGACTGGTAACAAAATTGCTTTCCTTAGAAAAAAGTTTTCACTTTGAATTAAAGCTTGAAGAATTTACATTAAATGAAGTATTTAGATGGTGCTATACTGAGCAGATGAGAGAATAAATATGTTCATAATCAGGTTGGACACTTCCAGAGAAAGTATGATGTCAGAATCCTCTGGACAGTGAAGGTAGTGAGATATCTCAAAAGGTCAGGCTGCCTTCTGCCAGATCTGGTGTTCTTAATCCTTGGAGTAGGAGTGAAAGAGAAGTGGCTTTCACAAGTTGTCTTCTGATCTCTACACATGCACAGTGGCATTCATGCACATGTGTGACCATTTCTTAAAATAAGAAAACCCTTTGCAAGATCTTCGCATCAAGGAATGTTTGAAACAACAGAGGAGCTCAGGACCCAGCAATTTACTTAAGAGTTTAATGTGATAACATGGGAAGAGAGATTAGAACACTTCTGTGAGTAATGGAATTGTTGAAGCACCCTGTTCTTTGATAAATGACTTTCAGAAGAAACCAGTTACTAAGAACAACACTTTACTAGCTTCAGTCCATGTAAAATCAGTGTCTTTGTGATGGTATGTGTGGTAAAGGAAGAGTGAGTATAGGGTTCAGAATGAATACAAGTTCCCTAACCATATGGAATATTTCTCTAGTTAAAGCAAACAAAGATAGCAAAGGCCAGAATTTACTAGGTGCAGTAAACACCCCACCCCCTTGTGTCCTTAGCAAATCCCAGTTCTTTAAGGGGGGAAAAAAGCTGGAGAATCCTTTAAACTTAAATACTTTCTCCAAAAAGTGTAAATAGAGAAGAGAAGATGCTATCAAATTACTAAAATATTTTATCAGCTCTTGATAACCTTTCTTTTGTTTTGTTTGCTTTATTGAGATAGAGTCTCTTGTAGCCCAGGCTGGCTTGAAACTCTTAAAGATGACCTTGAACTTCTGATCCCCTTCCTTCACCTGTGCCTGGTTTCTGTGGTGCTGGGGGTCAAACCCAGGACTTTGCACATGGTAGGCAAACACTACCAAACTGAACTGCATTCCCAGCCTGTAGTAATATTTATTCTTTGAATATAATTACAGTCCACTCCAAGTTATTTATACACATTTCATATGCCTTGTATGTCTTTTTAAAGTTTGCCATTTCTTCACAGCTGTTAGATTGACATAGAAATTATGGTAGAGACTGTTGCTGAGGTCAGTACTTAGCCATGTATTAAGTATGTGGTTAAGCATGAAGACCTCAGATTGGTAAAAAGAGCACTTAGGTTTGGGGTACATGCTGAGTACCTAAGGCTTTCAGAACAGAACATTTAGAATTCAGTTTTCAAACATTAAATTTTGATGTATCATGATTTTATGACAGTTCACATTTGTCACCTTAAAATTTGTTATTCAGAATCGAAATTATATTTGGATAGTGAGATGTGAAGAATAAACAAAGCATTTTTGATGATCTCTATTAGCAGACTTCATAGCAGGTCATACCCTATGTCTGAAGTTACCAAATCCTTGAAGTGTGAGGAGGTATTTCATTTTTAAAAAGACATGGATAAAAGAAAATAATTAACTACAAACCTGGTTTATATTAATATCCTACCATTTAGTTTTCTCTTTTTCTTTCTCCCCACCCCCCCCCCTCGCTTTTTGTTTTGGATAGTAAATATTTCTGTAGTGGATATTTTTGTTTAATCTTTGAGTGACGAATTAAAAATGAACTGTTTCAGGGCAGGGGCACTTGCTCTCCCAATAGACATGGAATTAGTATGTTAATGATTAATACAAGTGTAATTGAAGTAATTCCTTGTTTTTAAAATGGAGGAAGTGTAGGTAATAAAAAAGAAAGTTGACTCTTTTCAAAGTTGCCGAAGTAGAAAAGGTGAGTTGTCATCTCTGCCCTTTTGCAGAAGTTTTTTTTTTTTCTTTTTTTTTTTTTTTCTTTTTTTTTTTTTTTTTTTGTAGAAAGATGGAGCTATGGCATTTGGGAAGTAAGCTTTGATACAGTTAATAAAATTACTATTGGTTGAGTTTCCCTAATCCTGAAAGTCCAAAATACTCTGAAATCTATAATTTACTTTGTATTTGATGGAGAGGGAGTTTCACTGTGTAGTTCTGGCTGGCCTCTGACTTAAGAGAGAGATCCGCCTGCCTCTGCCACCTGAGGGCCAGGAGTAAAGACATATGCCACCATTCCAGCTAAAATCTGTAGCTTAATCCAAGACAACTTCTGATCCAGTCATTTGAGATGAGGGCGATTTGAAAAAATAAAGGTCACCTGTCATTTTCTCCCACGCAGGCAGGCACTTAGAGCTACGTAATGAGTCCTCCGGTTCTGTTGCTTTAGAAGGCTTTACTTCTGACTCTTCTGCACTGCTTTACTTACTAGTCAGCAAACCAGCGCAGATTGCTGTTTTATTGAGTGCTGTGCTAAAGGCTTTTGTAGTCGTTTTGTTTAAACTTTTATCTGTCTGTGCTGCTCTTTTCTTGTGGTGTTTACCTCTCCAGCCTTCAGAATACTAATAGAAAACTTTACTGTTACCAAGTGTTACATGCTTTTTTCTTTTTTTATTCTTTTCCATTTTGTTTCTTTTCTTTTTCTTTTTCTCTTTTTTTTCTTTTTTTTACCTGTTTTTTCTTCTTATTCCAGCTTTACTTTTAGAAGCCCAGTCAACACCATTTCAGGTCACACCTTCAACTATGGCAAATATTGTGAAAGGCCTGTACACTCTCAGACCAGGTAAACACCTGTCATTTCTGTTGGGATTGGGCCTGTGTTTTTATTTATTACAGCCTTATCCAAAGGGCATTGGTTCTTTACATGCTTTCTAAGGCCAAATGACATTTGGGTTTACTGTAATAAAAATGCTGGAACTCAAATCTGCATGAAATGTTGGTTTAGGACTTGCTTGGAACTCGTTTTCTACCAGTGGAAAGCAGCTGCTTTGGTTTTTGTAGCACCTGAAAGAGGTCCCAGGATAATTTGCTGTACTGACAGTTGAAAGTACAGTCATCTGTGAACTGAAGCAAGACAGTGATTCTAAAGCCAGCCTGAAAGCTGCATAGCTAGACTATATTGCTAAACAAAGCAAGAAAATGTATATTGTATTTGTTGTTACGGAGTTTCTCTTCCATTTCACGCTGTAAGTATGTGTAAGAATATACACTCAGATTACACCTTCTAGCTCATTACATAACTGACAAGGGATTAGAACAGTTGATAACGTTATGTCATGAGAATTTGGGGGAAGAAACATAAACAGTGCCCATATTCACAAGCGGGGCCTGTAAATGACCTTACTGTACCTACTCATAGTAAATAAAAACATGGTTAGATGCAAAGCAATCCAAAGAGCCTTTGTAGGGCGTCAAGTTTGCCACCGAGTCATCTAGCCGTTTACAACACGCCCACAGGAGAAGCTTGTAGAAATCTCAGGTTAAACATGGTCCTACAGTCAGTAAACACAAAAGATACTTTATTTTTTTGTACAGAAATTGCTGTTTTGTGAAATTTTGTTATCTGAAGATTCAAAGAAATACAATGTGAATGAAGAATTTTACCTGGGGACTGGAGAGATGGCTCAGTGGTTAAGAACACTGGCTGCTCTTCAGAGGTCCTGAGTTCAATTCACAACCATCTCTAGTGGGATCTGATGCCCTTTCTGGCATAAAGTCGACAGAGCATCCATATACATAAAATAAATAAGTAAATCTTTTTTTTAAAAAAAATTAACCTGATACCAATAATAATCATTGGTACTCATCACTTGAATTTGATGATTATTTTTGATGAATTGATAACTGATAATTAATTTAAAAGGCACTTCAAAATTTAGTTTGTTAAATTTTGAACCAAGAACCAAGTGAAACTGCTATCAAGAAATTATTATTATTATCATTATTATTAATATTTTGAGGCAGGGTTTCTCTGTGGCCCTGGCTGTTCTCGAAGTCACAGAGCTCTGTCTGCCTCTGCCTCCCAAGTGTTGGGATTAAAGGCTTGTGCCACCACTGCCTGGCAAGAAATTATTTTTTCTTGAGGTACTATAAAATGATTAGTGACTGGTAGAATTTGCATGTTTATTATCTAACTTTGGATTTGGCCTTGAGCTCTATTCTTTGTAACTTTTAACAATAATCATTTGTATGAATTACTTTTATAAAGTTAAAAAATATTTTATTACATTTCTAGTAAGCTATTTTTCTTCTAGCTTTTCTGATATTTGAATTTCATTTTCCTATGGTGTTATTAAGAGTTCTCATAATTTTTTTTATACAAGATTATGAATGATGTTTTTCTTTTATGTTGGAAGTCTTCCCAGTGTAGAATGACAAATTCTGCCTCATAAATAGGCGGGTTTATCAGCCATGGCTTTTTATATATGCAGCAAAATTACAAAATAAAGCTAATCACTATGGGTAGAAAAAAAATTTAGATGCCTGTTTATCTAAATGCTATTTTATCCAGGTTGAGCTCTTGTAATAGGATTTATACTCCTAAGGAGAATTCTGTGTTTGAGAATTGTCCTTTTCAAAAGGTGACTTTTATCACAGACTAACCTTTTGCTACCCTAGGCGTGTTCAGAGACACTACTAAATGCTTTGACATTTCCATGTCTTGCTAGTGCCCATTATATTCGTGGTCTAGTAAAATTCTAGTCACCTGACAGATTAGCTTGGAATATTTCAAAAGCCGAATTTGAAACAGAAGCTTCTTGTGCCACAGGTGTCCTCAATAATGTTAGTCTTTGTGCCACATTTCAGTCACCTTGGTAGGTTTTCACCCTGCTCTCACCCACTGGCAATTTGGAGGATTTAGCGTTGATGTTAACTTTCCGTCAGAGTTTTTAAAAACCCACTTTCGGGGCTGCTGCAGCGATCTTACTCTGCCTCTTTTCATCTAATATATACGCTTTGTTTCATTATCTTTATTTTAATGACTACTTGAAGATAAACCACCTGGTGGAAGGATTTGGCCTCTGGAGTCTCAGACCGGCTGGCTAGTCATTCCCAAGAGCACTCTAATAACTCTTTTTTCAAGCCACATACCAAACGGGCACACTACTGTGAGCATTTGCCATGGTTCTATCAAGGGAAGCGTGGCTGACCTGCATTGCTTCCAGCTCTTGCATGTTTCCTCTCATTTAGCCCTTCTGCAGTTGCACATTGTTTTCTACTTTTTACTTGCTGTTGGCCGCCACCACACAATCAAAAATGTGGGCTTTCAGATTCAGATTGTAGTTTTTAAAGAAGGCTTGCCGGCTTTATAGAGCATTGCCATGTTTCTTTCAGTATAAAAAACAGCCAGAATTTTTATAAAGGGGGCATGAAAGCCCTAACCTGAAATACTTGGAAAAACCTAAATAGTGCTCATGGAAGACCTTATTCAAGAAGTTCAGGTAGCAGTGCCATCCCTGAGTGGAGAACCAGTGTGCACATGGTTTACCTTGAATGATTAATATTAGCAAGCCGACTTAATGCTGTGTATTTTTTCTTCGAATAATTCATTCCTGTCTTTGTTTGTTTTGAGACAGGGTTTCTCTGTCTAACAATCCCAACTGTCCTGGAATGTACTCTGTAGACCAGACTGGCCTCGAACTCACAGAGATCCGCCTGCTTCTGCCTCCCGAGTGCTGGGATTGAAGGTGTGTGCCGCCATCACCTGGCTCATCCTGTCTTTTACTCTTCTCTGAACCTGATTTGTACAAACACTCTAATACACGTTTTTGTTATGTCTGGTAGAAATATATTCCTATGTCCTCTCTTTGCTTTTATTTTCTGTAGATTTTTTTTTTGGTCTTTCTCTTGATAACCATGTAATTCTCTTTACTTTTACTATTGTATTCCCACTCACACACAGAGTTGTCATTTAACAGGGATCAAAAAAGATTTTTATTTGCAAAGCACTAACTAGTTCTCCACTTCCTTGCCCCGTTTGGATTTTTTTCCTCTTTGGGTTGTACTTATTGTTCCCTCTGCAGTGCTGTGTTCTGGGGCTGGTTTCTTGTTTGAATTAATGGCTCACAGAGAGCTGGTTTTGACATCGAGCTGCTTCTCTGCACATCCTTTTCCACTCGATATTGCCTAGTAATCTCATTTGTGTTTTCCTACTTCTTTATAATTTTTTGTAAGATTTATTCAAAAGTTATAGGTTTTCATTTAATTTTCTTGAATCAGTAATGTAAAAATTTCAATTTTATACTTTTTAGAAAGAAAATATACATTTTTGTGTGTTCACCAAATAGGCTGGAATAAGTTTTTCTTCATTTGGTTTAATATATATTCTTGTTGTTTAAATAAGAAACTTGCTTTTTTAATTTATTATTTTCTTAACAAATCATATGTTTCCCTTTACAGAATGGGTTCAGATGGCTCCGACTTTGTTTTCTAAGTTTATTCCAAACATTCTGCCTCCAGCTGTGGAATCTGAACTATCTGAATATGCCGCTCAAGATCAGAAACTTCAAAGAGAACTTATACAGAATGGTTTTACCAGGCAAGTTGGCTTTCTTTAGTGACAATATAGCCCATTCTCCTAGGCTTCTAGCTTAGCTAGAGAGAGTGTCGAGTATCACTAAGAGCTAGAGCTGCAGGCTTCTTACCTGGACATTCCCCGCTGGGTGCTAAGCTGGAGGAAGCTGTTCATTTCTGTGTGCATTTTGAAGAATGAACAGTTAGATGGGCCAAGGCCTTCTTCCAAGTTGGAGTCTCTCACATTAATCCTGAAGCGACGCAAAAACATATTTGTCATGTTTTCTCTAAATCTAAATGTTCTTTAAAAGTAGAGTATCTCTTTATAAATGTCCAGAAATTTTCCTTCCTTTACTTTTGGTGTATGTTTTGTTTTTCTAAAATGTTTGCAATTCCTTATTATGGCTATACCCCAGAGAAATCATAGAAAGCACAGGTCTTTTTTGAATTAGAATGAATTAATATAAAAGTCTGGTAATTTCCTGTGGGAAAGTACTTGATTATGTTAGGAAGTCAAGAACACACTAATAACTTATATTTTCATAACTTTCATGTGTATCTGTCTCTCCTATCTTCTGGTATCTGAATACCTAATGTTAAGGAAACTTGTGGAAAAGAAGACCCAAGCAGCAGATTGAATCTTGATTATCTGATGGAACAGGAAGGACATATCTCTAAAAAATTCTGAGGCCAAACTGAATTTCAGAAACAAACAAAGGAAAACAAAACAAAACAAAAACTGCCTTTACCATGGTTGTTTACTTAATCTGTTTTGGGTTAAGAAAGAAAGGAAATGTTATTGTTTATCTGTCCAATTGGACTTCATTGCATTGGGGGCTGTGGTCTTGGTGACGTCTGTAGTCATGAGGTAGTAGAGGTACTGAGAATTCCACTGGTCATTTAGTTCCCTCCCTAGTAGCTTATACCAGAAGTGTCAGTGCAGACAGGTGTTGCTTGAATGTAAGTAGATGGCTTTTCTCTTCGAGATTGAGGAATCCTGTATCTGCCAATATTAAAGTATTTTGTGCATAGAGTAAAGCCATTTAATGCCATATTCTTTGACAGTTTCATGGATGCATGTAATATATCTCATGTCAGAGTTGGTTTGGGATGAAATGAGTAGTTAACTCTGGAAGCTCCGTCATACTGTATTTCTTTTGCTTTCAAAGAACTGTCGTAGTATTGTGCTGCCAAGGCCAAGGGGATCAGGGAACTGCCTTAGGCTTTTGAAGAAATTAGAGTTGTTATTATTCATAATGGATTCTTTAAAACAGCTTCTGAGTGAGTTTTAAACATTAGTAAAAGAGGTAGTAAAATTGGAATGTCTTGTAGCACAAACTTAAGCCACTTTTATAGTTGACACTATATTACAACATCACTGTGAGGATTAAACTCTGCCTTCTAAGTGATTCTGATAGGTACTTTGAACAGAGTAGGCCCTGCCAGAACTGACACCCTATGACCCACTTTTAGTCTTACTAACTACCTATCAGAAAGGACTGCCATGCTCAGCCCTGTTGCAAGCCTGTCTCTGTGTCATGGACCTTCTTTGTAATACCCTGACAGACTGGTGTTCTCTTGAGTCCTTATCTAGCTAGGATTGTCTTAGAGATAATGTTCTCTGACATGAAAGGGGAGAGACCCCCAAAATATACAGGCTCTCAGATAACTCTTTTATTGCCTATTTGGACTTGAGCAATAATTTGTGAGTTTTATTTCACCAAGTTTGTGGTTCTTTATTGGGATTCCAAGCTCTTCATTTTGTATCAAAGTCTTTGAAATGTTTTTACATACTATGCAAATGTATTCAGATACATCCTCCTCTGCAGTAGCTCTTTAGATGCTTGGAAGTACAGGGAAGATTTATTTCAAAACTAGAATAGTAATGTAGTCTTGAAGCATTATGATCTTTGTCTTCTTGTGGGTAATTGAATTGGTTGAGAGGAGGATAGGTTGGTGTCTGCTGTCAGAAATACCTTGTGGAGATTAAGCTTATTGGAAACAGAAAGCATGGGCCCTTGGCTGGAGTGTACTGTTGAGGCCAACCTAGAGTTCCAACAAACATTTTGCAAGGGCAAATAAGATGTTCTGTCTGAGAAGAAGTGACTGCTATTTCTGGAATGTAGTAAAACCTTGTAAAGATACTGGTGCTTTTGGTTTGTTGTTGTTGTTGTTTGTTCAGCTGAGAGGGAGGCCCCCGGATTTGGGCTTTTTCATTACAAGCAGAGCAGTGTGCAGCTGGGAGACTCCACGAATCAGTTTTATCTTTTGCATCTGCATCCATTACTTTCCTCTGGCCTACTGTTTTCACATTTGCATTTCACCCGTTACTAGTAGGTCTTCGGTTTCTATTTAATGAGAGGAGATAGAAATGGATACTTTGTTTAGAAGTAGAGGTTCCAGATAAAAGGTTTTGAATCTTCAGTTTTAATCAGTATTATAACCACAGAAGTTGCTCGGCTGGATTTGGTAGGGCACAAAGTCGGATATCTTTTTAGGCTGCTCAGGACTATTCCTGGAGAATACAGTGGAATTTCTTTTAGATGCTCACTCTAAAGAACCATATACCTTCCAGTCATGTATTATGGTCTCTCCTTAGATTAGCAAGAGATGTCTGTCTTGGTCAGAATCAAATAAGGGAAAGAATAAACTTGGAATATCTGGAAAATTATTCAAAATCTTGCAACATTTCAAAATTAGCATTGGTTTAGTAATCAGATATTATTTTGTTGTTTGGTTAATTGAAATGTGGGATGCTCAGGTCAGCTTTTTAGTAATCATCTGAGGTTGTGAATTTGTTAATTGAGCAGAGAGATTGCCAGTGTCTCTTATGTTCTAGACACTGAGGCACTAGGATTGGAAGACAGGCAAAGTTCTCACTTTCGTGGTACTTATGCTCTACTGTTGGCAAAGAAATAATAAACTTGCAAAAGTGCATACAGTTTCAAGTAAAAAATAAGCACTGTGAGAGAATTAGAGAATGAAGTAGAGTTAGGGGTTATCGGTGACATGGTGTTGGCTTCCAGGAGGATGACTGAGCTGAGGTGAGGAGGAAGAGACAAGCTATGTAACTGCCTTGGGAAGAGAGCAGCAAACAGGAAAAGGTTACCACCCCAAAGTGAGCAGAGGTGGTAAGCACTGGAAAATGAGGTGGGAGATTTAGTCCCAAGCCTGACACTGGCTGGGAGATGAATTGGAATTGATTTTAAACTGTAGTGGAAAGTTACGAAGAGTTTTAATCAGAGGTGTGAACTGATCTTATACCTTGTATAAGCTTACTCTGACTCTTTGTCAAGAATAATACAAGCCTAAGGAAGGTTTGGGGGTGGAGCTGGACAGACATTATATTCTGGGTATGGTAGTTTTCAATGTGTGCTTAATAATGAGAATACTGAACCTACAGATCTCAGACAGACAGAAATCAAGAGCTGCCTGTGAATTTCCGAGCTACAGACTGACAAGGCCTGCATCTTAGAAAAAAGAGAAGAATGTATATGGAGAAGAAAAGGTGGTCTATGACTGTGTTAATCAGAGCAGCAAAGGACACCAGCAGTGGGTGGCAGAGGGTCAGAAGAAGCTAAGAAAAAAAGTATTTCAGGAAGGAGGATTGATTGCACCCTTGGTTGAAACAAGTGGAGCTGATACTGCTCATTGCTTAAGCACTGGAGTTTTCGGTTAGTGTCTGAAGTCAGAAAGCCAGAGTGTAATTCATAGGAGGCATAAGGCCTGTTCACAACCAGTCTTAACTACAGTGCAAAACTTGACTGCCTCTAGGCTTGTGAAGCTAGACTGGGCATGATATCTGAAGGTTTGTGCTCTCCACCACAAGGGTCTGCAAACACCTTAGTTTCTGACTTCCAAAGGCTTTGAGGGTCTCAGTTTGAGGCTTGAGGGCAAGATTTTTAACTTCCCTCTGTTTAATATTTAAAGTTTGGTTAGTGTGTACAGGATCTTGGGGATAATATTAACAGAATCCAAGGTTGTCATCAAAGACATATTTTACTTTCCACCTTTTTCTAGTTCAGTTTAGCTGTCTTTATAGATGATCATTCATTTAATAACTTTCTATATTTTACAGACTACATACCCTTGAGGTACAAATACTCGGGGTAAATGACTCAGCTCATGCTTAATGTCTGTTTAAACAGGCTGTTGGGTTAGAACAGCATTTGCTGTTTGTACTGTTACATCGATTTATTTCTGCTGGTTTTGTGTGTAAAGAAACCAGTCAGTTTTGTTGACTTCTTTCTCTTTTCTTATCCCTAGAGGTGACCAGTCTCGGAAGAGAGCTGGGGATGAGTTGGCTTATAGTAAGTAATGATGCTTTTCCTGTTTTGATGGGTTTTTACATGGGCCAGCTTCTGAGGATGAGTATGGAATCCATGGGGTAGGGTTGGTGGTCTAGGTGGCACAGCATGGCTTGTGAAGTTGAAGTCCTGGCCTTGGGATCAGGCAGGTGCCAAGAGACCACCAAGACTCTTGGGATACTGCCCCACAATCGGTTCCTGGTGATATTGGCTCCTTTTCATTTCTCTCAGAACTGTGTTATTTTTCAAAGTTTTAAAAATAAACACACCAGGAGGTGGGGATCAGGAGAGAAATAGCTTGCGCGAACAGAGTGCTCTCTATCTCTCATGGTTTTTCTTCTGACCTTTTTTCCAGACAGCCCGTCCGCTTGTGCAGGTTCCAGGGGATACAGATAGTGACTGTTGAAGGACTTTTCTCCCGGAGAGAAGACACTGGAGCTGCAGACACTGTTCCAGGCACAGTGGGGCCTGCACCACTCAGGAGCTCTGTCAGAGGCTGTTCTCAGAGAGGAGCCACACTTCTTTCTTTGATTTTCAGTTTTAAAAAACAAGAACTAACAAAAACAATTGCTGCTAGACTTGAGGGTGATTTTAAAATGGGACAATCTTTTATTAAGTTTATCTACAGAGCAAGTATCTTGGAGAGTGGCTATTGCTAAGTGAAGCCCAACATGCAAATCCGCTTCCTCCAAAAAATACAAAAATGAAAGAATCTCTTTTTAAGCACTTGTCTTGTTCTTTTGTAGACTAGGCACATGGTGCCTCATGTCAAGATATCTTTGCTTTAAAACCAAGCAGATGCTACAGTAAGTGTTTTCCCCGTGCCCCAAACAATGTTTTAAATTCAGAATCGGTCTATGTTTAGCACTAGTCTTATGGAGGAAAATGCTAATAACTGCTTTCACTGTAACTTTCCCCATCCGTTCACGTTTTTAACTCTGTGCCTTGAGCTTTGTGCACTTTTGCAACTGTGTGACCATGTCATCAAACTCACAATGCTTCCCGGAGAAGTTGATATCCCAAACTGACCCACCAAGGCCTCTGTAGTGTGGGTGGAGCCCTGGTCCAGGGCTGTGTTACTGTAGAGATTGTCCAACAGGGGGAGCTGCTCCCTGAATCCCTCTAGGGAGCAGTGTTAGTAAAGCCAAACAAATATGGTGAGTAGTTCTTGGTCCATCTCATTTTAATGGGTGCAGTTAGTATTTGTAAAAGGTCAACTCTGCCCTGTATCTTGTAAACATCATGTTTGATATTTGAATACAGTAGGGAAGAGTTTGCACTGGTTTTTGAAGGCTTCCTTCAGCTGGTAAAGCTGAATTTTCTGTCTCACTGCACCAACAGTGCTCTTTAGCTCCTCACAAAAGTCTGACGCTTACTCCAGGTGTTTTTTCAGTGGTAAACAAAAAATAGACATGGTGAAGGAAAAATATTTTTTCTCCTCAATTTTGCTTGAATGTGAAGTGAGCATTGACTTTGTGCTTGCCCAGCTCTAGCCAGCGGTGATTCTGAGCCTTCAGAGAATGCCTCCTCAGGCTACTGCTGCGAACTCTGTGGGCAGAAGAGTTAGAACGTTGCCCTGAAGCAGTTCAGAATTTGTAAATGATGGTCTAGAGGAGGAACAGTAAGAGCTGACAGCTTGGCTCTTTGGGGTTCTACTCAGCAGTTGGTAGAGTAGGAACAGGCAAGCTCTTACTATGGCCTGCACAGCCTTTTCTGCTCTAATAGCAAGGGAAATTTTCATTTTATCAAGAAGTCCAAAGTTTGCTTTTCTATTGGAATGTTTGCCACATGGTTGTAATATCATTTGGAACTGGTTTCTTCTACATGGCTTTAATATTTTTGGCAGTAAGCTTGGAACATTTCTTGAAACATAGGTAAGTAGCTCAGTGTCGTAATTTATACTCCTCCCCTGAAAGAGAGTACTTTTTTTTTCTCTAACAGAACCTTACCTATAAAAGCATTATATTATGTAAACTGGCATTAAAGTGGGTGCTTTTGTGTTACTAAATTAATGGAGAAGTAATCGTACTCATTCTGTGTTAGCACAAAATGTACAGGGAAATCCTGTAAAAGTCTTTGAGTTAGAGTTGGCTACAACTGTGCAGATGCTGAAAGGTGTGGGGGAAATGTGATCCTTACAGTTTGTAAAACTTACTCAAGGTGAAATTGGCCTCACTTATTAATTGAAATTTTGACAGAATTCTTAGTCCTCAACTATGAGGAAATAAAACCTGCTCTCTTCCACTTAGTATTTCAAGAAAATGTCTTCTTTTCATGTGTACTTGTGTTCTTGCCAGTGCAGTGTGCACTTTTTCTATTCCTGCTGAGGACTACTTAACCAGATCCTCAAAGGCCAAAAAGTATAGATTGGTTAGCCAGTCAATGTAATGTAGTTGATTTGGCTAAACTGGCAAGTGTGTACATTTGCCTGAAATTAAGCCCTTAAAAGAAAGCCACAAATTGTGCGTTGTTTCTAGTTAGTGAAACATTTCTGGTTCCCATAACAAGTCATTTACTCTCCTTTTTGCTAGGATGAAGTTGGTTTGTGTGTAGGTGTAGAGTGCAGAGGAATGGGTGCCCTTGGTCATGACACTGCACATACGTCTCCAGTGCTCAGACCTGTGTAGCTGCTGCTCCCCTTGTTTGCTTTTTGTCAGGTTGCAAATTTGCACACGTGAATGATTCCTCAGGAACAATTTGCACACTCCTCACTTCATTGTACTCTGTATAGACTAGACATCATCAAAGGTTATCAGCACAAGAGGCTTCATACATCTACTAGCAAAGGCCATGGCGAGCTTGCAAACAAACTGGTTTCTGCAGGTCATGGGAAGAGGAGCACCTAGTGTTTAAATGACCTCTCGGTTCTCCCTGTAAATAACTTCCAGATTTTGCTGTCTTATTGAGGCTGTGTTTTGTTTTGTTTTCTCCCGTTTCCTCTCACAGTGGTTAATAATTTCTCTGGTTAATTGCCCTTGAGCTAAGATTCAATTATTAAGCAGCCAACATTAAACTAAGCATTATTCTATGAATGTATATTCATAGAATATACTAATCTGAGATAATAAGAAACAACTAAAAAGCAAAATAAAAAGCCTGCATTAGCTATCCAACTGTTAGACTGTTTAGAGTTTTGGGTTGTTTTTTGTTTTTATGGTGTATTCCTTGAGCTCGTAGCTTGGAATATTATGTTTGCTTTTATCCAAGTGGTAGGTCTCTTAAGGGGATTTTAAAATTCAAAGTTGGAATGTGACACCGGTGACTGACACAGCTGAAACCAGTGTAGAGAACCTAGAGAACCTTTTCTGTTGTGATTACTGTGTTCAGGAAAACTGTGCAAAATAAAGTTCTTTTTTTTTTTTACCAGAAGTTACAGGGGTTCATAGAGAAATGGCTCTTGTGCTTTAATTACCATATAAAAATTTCCTTGGTTTCTCATTCCCAGAATATTTGGAAGAAGGTACCTGTTCTTTCCCAAAGGAAATGTCTCCTCTCTGGTCCCTTTGCTACTTAACTGTAGTTACTGCCTCCTCTCTCCTGCCCTAACTGAGACCTTAACTTGAACCTCTTTCCAGAGGGGTCCGCCACCTCACTGCAGTTTTATAGAACCATTCTGTGCAGTAAAGAACTTCACTTTAGGCTTGATTCATTTTTAGAAGAGTGATGATGGATTGCACCTCTGGGAAAGTCGTCAGCATGGGGTTAAGAGTTGAGTGGTTTGGAAAAAAATAGTTTGTATTGGTTCTTATGTCATTTAAATATTGTGACTATACTAAGTGCAGTAAGACTGAATGTTCTCCCAGGGTGTGTTTGGGTGAATGGTTGACAGTGCCCTTGGCTCTTCTTTGTCTTTGTCAGTGTTACAGCCATGCGATTGCGGAGAAATTATTTAATGTCACTTAAAAATGAGGGACTGTGACTCAAACAAATGCTCATACAAAATACGGAAATCCCATGCAGGCACCAAGCTTTTGCCGCCCACCAGCATAGCAGAGTGAACAAGGCATTGCTGTCCAGTTTCCTGACCATTTGTCTTCTGACATGGCAGATCTGGTACTGTCGTTCACCCCTCCCTCCCTCCCTCCCTCACAGAACGTGACTGAAGCACTCACTCCCTGAGCTGGGGCACAAAGCAGCTGGCCTGAGCTCTCTCCTTCTAAACGGTTGGTGGATTTTGAATCACTCCTCTGTATTGGGTGTATATTCTCACTCTAAAACATTGTGGTTAACGAAAAATAAATCTTGTACAAATGTCCTTAAACTTGTCTTGTTATAAGTTTTGTGCAAATGTCCTGGCTCTGATACCTGGTTCACTGTTGTAACATGGATGTTGAGTTCCACTTACAGGGAGGGTACTCTGTAACATGGTAACCACAACTCAGACACAGTCGGCCTTAACCTCTAGATCAGTGACTACAAAACTGTTTACATGTGCTTTACACATTGTAGTGTGTGCATAGACATGTACTATATGTGTATCTTATAGTATATAAGTATGAATGTGTGTATGCATGCTGTAGATGATACAGTATATGTGCACACATGTATTCTGGGTGTATATGGTAAGTATGTATGAATGTACTGTGGATGTAGTATATATGTATGAATATGCTGTAGGTGTAGTATGGACACATGTGCTTTAGACATGTGTTATGTGTATACATTGCTATAAGCATATATAATGGGCATGATTTTCTTTATGGAGAAGCCCAGAAGCTTATAAGCATTTGATAATAAGAACATTTTGACTGTTGTAAACATGTCATTTCCTTTTGAATTAATATATGAATTTATACAAAGCCATTCCAAAAACCAAAACCCTTGTTTTTTAATATAATGTAAAAGCTCATGTGGAAGTGTAACAGATGGAAATAGGAAAATACCCATTGAAAGAAGAAAGAAATAGAAGAAACTTGATGTAACAAAAAGATGCATCACATTTTTCAGAAGTGCAATTAAATTTAAAACAGTTACAGTAGTGTAAACATAGACTGGGAAATGGGTAAAAATTAGGAATGAAGGCGTATGTTAACACTGGCTTTTAAGAGTTATTCTGGCCTTGAGGAATTATTCATTGAAAACTGCTGGAGAAAATTAAATTGATTGCTGTCATACCATTCATCAAAGAAAGCCCAGATGAGCTTAAAATTAAATTTAAAAGCACAGCACAAAAAAGACACTATAACTCCCCGTCCCTAGGAATGGAGAAGTTTCTTTTAAGGACATAATCATGAGACACAAATGCTGTAGACATGCTGTCATTTGCCTTTGTGCTCCATGGAGTGTTCATTGTGTGCACTTATGGATCCATGAGTTTATGTGTACCATGTGCATGTAGTGCATGCAAAGGTTAGAAGAGAGCTCTCAACCTATGGGTTCCAACCCTTTCACAGGGATTGCATATCAGATAATTGTGATTCATAACTAGCAAAATCTCAGTTATGAAGTAGCAACAAAAATGGTTGGAGTTACCACAACCTGAGGAACTGTATTATAGGTTTGAAGCATTAGGGAATGAAATGAGAACCTTTAAGCTAGAGTTACAGTTATGAGTTGTCTGATGTGTGTGTGCTGGAAACCAAACCCAGGTCCTCTGCATAAGGAGTATGCACTCAACATTGAGCCATCTGTCCACCCCCAAATTGTTTACTCACATGCTAGTACACAGAAGACAAAAAGAAAAAATGAGATAATGTATTTGAAACTATTGTGGGTAACATTTGTATCGTTTAAAGCTATTCTTTATTTAAAAAAAATAGTGGTTTTTATTTTTTTGCTTTTTGAGAGGGGTTTTTCTATGTGGCCCCTGGCTGTCCTGGAACTCACTCTGTAGGCCAGGTTGACCTTGAATTCAGAGATCCACCTACTTCTACCCCTCTAGTGCTGGGATTAAATGAATTGCCTACCCCCAAAATAAATGGTTCTTAAGGAACTTGAGCCATGCAATTAAAAAATGATTTGGAGCTGAGGAGAGCAGCTGGTAGTATGCTATGCTGTGTGACAGCTGAAGTCTGACTCCTGAGGACCTATGAAAGCTGTGTGTGGTAGCATTCCTACAGCAAGATGGGAAATGGAGACCGGAGAATCCCTGGAAACTTGACAGCCAGTTAACTTGGCATTGCAGTGTTAATCAGACCGTGCCTCAAAAATACAAGATGAAAGACAAGGAACCACACTCAGGGTCGTCCCCTGATGACTTTGAACCATCGCATATGTGCACAGGATGCGTTTGGACACAAACTATTTTTTTAAACTTCATCTTAGGGTTACTGTTGCTATTTTGAAACACCATGATCGAAAGCAAGTTGGTGTTGTGTAGCAGTTTCCTCCAAAATTAAAACATTCTACCGTACAGGGAAGCTCCTTAAACAAAAAGGCAAAAACTCAGAGTAGCCTCAGGAAGTCCCTAAAACCGACCAGATTCCCTAGGTCACCCTTTGCCAGGGTAAACAATAAAAACTGAGAGTCCCCCTCAGAGGAAAGAGCTAAGCTACAGAGAAGACTCAAAAAGAGCTGAGCTATTAAAAGGTGGGGGGGGGGACATAAAAAGAAGATTCCAACCAGACAAGCTGCCTGGAAGAACCCAGCTCAGCTGTCAGGAAGAGCTCACTTTGGAAAGGACTCCCTCCAGCCTGTGGAGCTGCCTACAGGCTGTGCAGTGTGCTCCAGGTCTCCCAGCTCTGCATGGGACCAAACTAAGCCCTCTGAATGTGGGTAACAGGTATGTGACTTGATCTGTTTTGGGAGGGGGGGTGCTTGGCAGTGGGACTAGAACTTATCCTGGGTTCATGAACTGGCTTTTTGGAACCCATTCTCTGTGATGGGATACTGTGGTCAGGTTCTGGATTTGCTCTCTTGGTGATAGAGTCTGGATAAATGACCACTCTGTCCCAGAGATCTATGTTCTCGCCATCTCAAGAGACATGGGATGCTCTTGACTTGGTTCACCAGCTTCCACTGGTGATGAAAACGCTATCCTCCATTTGAAAAACATAAAGGGTGCACTTTAGCACCCAATTCTAACTGGCACTGAATGTGTCTCCTTTCTCTGCACCAAACCCTCAGTGTGATTCTTTTATTCTGAGCTTTTCCAAATTCCGTTGTAACCCTTTGCACAATTTCATGTTCTATTTCACCCCTCCACATAATGCAGGAATACTGACTGCAGGCACTCTACTGTGCAGCCATACAGCCCCCTTGCTGCCTGCAGCTTCAGCCTCTGCAAGAAAGGGGCAGGCCACACCCATCAGGCCCAAGCTGCTGCACAGGCTGTTTTAGCCCCAACTGCCCGCAGCTACCTGAGTTCCAGTTTCCTTTTACCCTGCCTGAACTCCCATAACAGGCCATCTCCTTCTCCCTACCCAGCTGTCACCTGGCCACACTCGCTCTGGTGTTAGCACTGTGTGTGTTAGCACTGTCAACTCTGCATGGCCCAGTTCAGCCTGGCCTGGAGGGGAAGAGTCAATACTCAGTGGCACACAGCAGCCTTTCCAGCACTTTAACCGGTCACACCCATTCTGGGCAGTCCCTCCCATTTCTTGGCTTCCTTCTGGAAGTTATACAGCTTCCTTAGGGCATATAGGGCTACTGATACCCCTCCATCCCCACCGAAGTCCCAGAGTTTGTTCCCTGTTTGCTACTCCAGTAGTCCCTACCATCTCGCTCCCACGCTCCAAAATGCCCTTCATTTATCCCGATTCTGTCCCTCCCCCACTCTCCCCCCCCCATTTGACTGAAAATTTCCCACCCATCTCCTGAAGGGCCCTCTAGCTACTGTGGTCAGCAGCAGCCTGTGATGACAGTCTTATCTCTCACCTCCCTCAGCCAAGGCCCTTACCAGCTTTCCCACCTTAACCCTTTCCTGTCCTGACACTGCCTACAGCATAAGCTGAATCATACAAAAGAAAATAATATTCTGTGATGATAAAAGCCTACTGCGTTTATGGTTTATTTCCACACTTAAAGATCTCCAGTTAAATCTTCAACTTTAAGGCTCAAACCTAGCAGGGATAATGCTACAAGTTCTAATGTTTAAAAAGCTGTATTAACTTGTTATAAACTGTTAATGATAATTAAATTAATAATCAGTTACCTTATAAATAATCAAATTCGTAATGTGTTTGTAGCCATACTTATGATTAATTACAAAATAAGTTAGGAGGTTAGACCTAAAATGAGATAACAGCTACTTGGTTCTCAAACTCCTCAGAGATCTGCTGAATATGGCATTTACAATGTTCAGTAAAAACCTTCCCACATTAAAGAGACTCCCTCCTAACAAGAAACTTTAAGGTCTCCAAAGAAAACAGATGGAACACCAAACCAGTGACTCTACATGGGCTGTGGTAGTGCTAACCACAGGGGAAAACTGCCCCATGCCTCGCCTGCTGCCAGAAACCTGCATAAACTGTGGACAGGTACGAACAGATTGGCAGTTATACTCTGCCTTGTCAAGGTAAGGTCAGTTTTTCCAAGTTCTTCCTCTCCAGGAAAAATTCCTCACATCTGACAGCCAAAGACCCGCTGCCCTTTTCTGACAACTGAAGATCTGCTTCTACAGTGAATCTCATAAGCCTCAACAGTCTAAGTATCTGTTATTTTAGTTGACACAAAAACAATTTAAATTATACTTCCTACTCAAATTTATCCTTTACAGATCTCCAAAGACACTGATGACTGACTGTAGCTTTAACAGCAAATAGCTACTGGCCAGTCACATTCATTTGTAGAGTTTACCTTGATGACAGACTTCACAATGAAAGACCTCCTGATCGGGGAGACTCTCACTCAAGTCTTGGGATAACACAACCCCCAAGGAACTCATGGGAGACGGTCCTTGCTGCAACCACATGAGGTTTATTGATAGGACAGGAACCAATGCACTGGGGCTAAAACTCATTTCCCACACAGGGGTAGAGAGTTCGACCCCGAGTAGCTGGGAGAAGGGGTGTTTAAGGGAAGAAACCACAACCCAGTAATCCAAAGAGGATAGGGAGGACGTCATTGGAAAATTCCAAAAAGACCAGTGATAATCACAAGGGGGTAACTCCCTGTTTCTCAAGATTATAATCTAACTTTATCTTTAGCTAGTTCCTGAAACAGAGTCACTGAACTGGCTAACCTAGATTTTTGACTCTTCTCTTCCAGCTAGATGGGTCTGGATTTATCTGGGTCTTTCAACACTAACAGAGATTTGGAATTTCTGAAGGTTATGAGAAGCAGGCAAGTTATATAGGCCCAGGAAAGTAAATGATA